GNAGAGCCCGCCCACAGAGGAAGCTACCGCTGTGTTTATGACGTCCATGTTTTCTCTCATAACTTCTCCTCCCAGAGCCGTGTGCTGACTCTGAGAGTCTCAGGTAAGCTGACGGAGAGCTGAAGGCAGCTGGGTTTGTTCCTTGTGCTCATGCAGTGACTGAGTGTCTCATCAGATCCAACAGTTTTCATCATCAGACTGGTGGTCCTGCTGCTGAGTCTGCTGATCTTCATCTCTGTGATTTACTGCAGCCATAAGGTAGCGTAGAGGTTTGTTTCTGACTCAGCTGAAGCTTTCAGATTGGGATGATGCTCGAACTCAGCTGGATGTGTGCTTGTATCTTCCTACAGACCACCAGGGGGCAGCAGACTGTCGCACAGAAGAACGTGGACGTTGGAGTTGATGAAGTGAGAGAGGTGGTGGAAGAACAAGAGGAGGCAGCTCTGTAGCGACACCATGTGGTGGAAAATGTGTACTGAAGGAATCAACTGCTTAGACCTGCTGAAACATTCCTGCTGTTACTTTGATGTTCAATGTCTTTTTTTCTTTATTGGTTCTGTTTTTCCAGATTATTGTGTTTCATTTTCTTATTAATGACTTTGGATGTAATCCTTATAATAATGTTTCAGACTGTATAAATCTCAGGCAGAGTTTTATCCAGCTTTTTGTTTGCTTTTTGTATTTATATAGATAAAGACATTACAAAGTCAGAATGATAGTTTTGTATGGAGATAAATTTGGGCCTCTTCTGTATCTCCTCATCACTGATTTCACACCAGCGTCTCTGACAGGAAAGTCAACAGCTTCATTGCGTGAATAAAATCTGAAGAGAAAACTCATGTCATATATCATATTTCCTTCAGCATATGCACTACAAACATGTGAGGACTGTACCAAGCTATAACTGAAATCAATGTCAATTTCCATTTCCATTTGTATTTGTTTAAACCAAACACATCTGTTCTTCTCTTAGCTGCTTCAAACTGTTGTTAAAAATGTAAATCCCATTCAGGGAGGACATTCAGCTTTGGAGTAAGGCCACATAAAACTTTACACATAAATATGATGGGGTCTAAGTTTTCCCCTGAGACGGAATCAAAATATAAAGCAATCAACATGAGCTTGTGATACTGCTGAGAGCATGTTTGAAGAATCTCTAAAAAGTAAAAAGGTAGATTCATTCAAGCTCTTTCTAGATATTTCTTTTAAAAATTGCTTAATTATGTAATACAGTCATCAAAAACATTCCTAATATGTCAGTCAATGAAGAGACATTATAACTGAATATCATCTGTATAAATGTGGTGTAAAATGTTGCAACAAATGCTTTTCATCAGTTACCATAAGTACAACTTGAATAGATGTGTCCCCAGAACAGAGCCCTGAGGAACCCCGTGTCAGATCAGTGTAAAACATAAGGCTGCAAAAATGGCCAGAAACAGAAGAACATCTTTTTTTTGTCTATATCTGTGGTTTTACCAGTAAGCTCTGGCTGCAAGAAATCACTTATCAGAATAGAGATAAAGAGACAAAACAGGAAGAAACAACCCAGAACTTAATGATATACTAAGAGAGGACAACTCGAACAGGCAAAACGACAGAGACGAACATTTACCCGGACATGGATCACCGGCTGGTGGTTTTGCTCCTGCTACTACTCTGGTGCTCAGGTAGGACAGAACAATGTTAATGTCAAAATGCAAAATAAAACATCAGTCAATTCAATTTGGTTTTGTTGATTTATAAAGAGAATCATGGTTTAAAACTTTTATTTTTCTTTGCAGGGTTTTTTTTTATTTTATTTTTACTGTTTAAAATATTGTATATCTGCTTACTTTGATTAGGGCTGTTTTGCAAAAAGATCATTTCATATATTTTTTCTCTCATGTAACAGAAATGACCTCATGACATCAAGGCACTGAGTTGTTGAAGTGTCTCAATTCTGATTACTTAAAACTAATTCGGACAACATTATTAAGAAGTTAATATGACTTAAACAAAGCTTGAAATGAATAGTCATATTTAATTCAGCTCAGTTTGATTTATAAAAATGTTTCAGATTTTATCAGCAAAACACAGAACAGGCATAAAGATCCATGATTTTAATGAGGTTTTTTTTTGTTGTTCTTATTTACATCTATAGACCTGCATGCTGAAAGAAACTACAGCTCAGCAGGTAATCAGATCCCGTTCAATCAATTTCACTGTTCATATTGTACCAAAAATACATCTATACATGTATACAGGAGGTGAAAAAAGGTCTTTTTTTCTTCTTTTTTGTCACATGGATTGATCAGGAGCTAAAATGGATTGGAAGAGTGATTTTTTTTTAGTTTAGTTTATCAGTGTTATTACCATAACACTATAATCTCCCTTGAAAAATTGTAATAGTTGCAAATTTAAGTGAATTTTTTCAGTGAGGCGATCAGCACATTTTCAATGCACATAGATCATGCTTTGAAGATCTTTGTAATATTTCACAATTTAAAAAATAATTTAACTAAGGAGATTTAGAGATTGAAAAAATGCACTCAATAAACTGACTGCAGTTACACTGAGTTTTTTGAGTGTAAGTGCACTCACACTCATGTATTATGTATGCGTGTTTATGTGTCTGTATGTGTGTGACATGTCCCTCTGCTTTACTTTTTCAGGAGCTCCATGTGAAACAGCTAAAGCCGACATTGTGATTTTAGTCGACGGGTCTAACTGTATTCTCCCTTTAGGCTTTAGATATATGAAATTGTTTATATCTGAACTACTTCAAACCATGCATATTGGCCCCAACAGTTTCCAGATTGGTAATACTTTTATTTTCATCAACAAGCGTTGTGTGATGATGCCGTTTTTATAAGAAGTAAATTTTTTTAAACTCATACATTTAGAAAGCATAGAAATGTTTTGAACAGATAGATCAGTTTCAACTTTCTTGAAATTCAGAAATTTACATATATTTGATCAGTATCTGGGAAAGCTGTCCTTTAAATAGTAAACAAAAAAATTTAAATTCAGGCTGTGAGAAAAAAAAAAATTCAGTAAATATCTGGTTTCAAATGTATCCTGATGCTGTTATTTGTTCAAAATAGTTATAAAAAGAACTTAATTTAGAAAATATAGCAACATTGAAATAGATGGATGGTAATGTTTTTTCTACTTGTTCAACACATCAATATTAAATTTATAAAGAATAAAAAGAACAACTTATAATTTTCTATTTTGACCAATGATTATGTGCTTTTTGTAGGTCTGACTCAGTTCAGTACCGAACCAAAGACTGAGTGGAATTTGAACACACACAGAACCAAAGAGTCCCTGATGAAGGCTATTAAAAAAATACGACAGAATGGTGGAGAAACAAACACAGGTCAGCACCTTATTGTCATTACACCAACTACTTGGTGTAATGACAAGCACAGGTCAGGATATTATTGCTAATAAAGCAGATTCAACAGCTGTGGAGTTTCAGGTTCTGTTCACTCACAAACCAGAACATTTCAGAAAAACAAATTAAATGGTGCCATTTCAGGCACTGTATGAAATCTGACAGTTTACTTCAATTACCTCTGATCAGAATTCAGACCTCACTAGAAAAAGGATCATCTTTTATCAGAGGACAAAAGACGGGATTCAGTGACATTCAAGAAGAAGTACAGATTACAGAAATGCTAAGTGGCTATTGCTGTGGTGATTTCCCTATACTTTTCTGGGTAGCAGTGGGAAGGTGACGCTGTCAGGAACACCTTTGTTGTGATACAGCCAGATAAGAATCTGGGACACATGTAGCTCTGAGCCTTTAAAGGGACTTTTAATCCTTTTGTAAATTTTTTATTGTTTTTGAAACTTACAGAAAAAGCTCTGAAACACATTCTGCATCACAGCTTTAAACCCACGGCGGGGATGCGTCCTGACTCTAAAAAAGTGGCAATTCTGATCATTTCTGGAGAATCTCAAGCTGACATTCGACTTCCTGCCAAAAACCTGAAAGACACTGGGATAGAGATACACGTTATTGGTGACTGGCTTTTTCTGTACTGATTGAGTTTAAATAATTTATAGTTTATAGCTTTTAAATAATCAGAGTACAACACTTCAAAATCAAAAGTTGCTTAGATAAATTGGATGAGTAAAGTCGCTAAGATGGATCGCAATGTGATTGATGACCTTTTGTTTTCAGACTGATTATTAGTCTGAGAGACACATCAGTATTAGAGTTGTTTACAGAAATTAAAGTTTAGTCCTGTTGTCCACCAAGTTGTTTTCTTCTTAATGTATCAGTACAGTAATGACATTTGTTTTTTAGGTGTGGGCCAACAAGATGAATGGAGGATCATTGCTTCTGGAGGTGCTGGAACATATGTGTACACCACTTCAGATTTTGGATCTCTCCACAGCATTAGAAACAACCTGAGCCACAGCCTGTGTCACAGAGCTCCCAGCAGAGGTAGGCATCATCTGCATACACTTAGCAACAGGTGGATATTTGAAGCTCAACATGGACTTTGATTCTGGCTCATTTTAGGATTGATAACTCTCTAAAGCAGTGGTCTTAAACTCCAGTCCTCAAAGGTTGGCATCCTTCAGATTCTAGAAGTATCTCTGCTTCAGCAAACCGGGTTTCAATATTAGCTCGTTAGCAGAGCTCTGTAGAGCTTGACTGCATGTTAATGAGGCAGTTTGCTTTTTAATTCAAACATGTGAGACAAGGAACACATGTAAAAGCTGCAGGACTCTGACACTCAAGGAAAGTATCTTGAAGCCACTGCTCTGAACCCTGACCTATCAAGCGCTAAGGTGGAAATTAAGATACTGAAATCAACAGCATTTCAAATACGCTAAGATGGCAATGATGTGTGTGTGACGAAGATTTCTTCTGAAATACTGATTCTGTTTCATGAATATGTGGAGCAGAATCCAACACGGGTATATTTAATTGTGAAAGAAAGTGTTCAGCAACACAGATCAGAAATGCTAGACTGTGCCAGCAGACTACCGCAGTCTAGTCATATTTTTTAAAAACATGATAAAATTAAGGTCTCAATGAATGTCTGACT